GAGATCGTGCCATTGCACTGCAGCCTGGGCAACAAGAGCGAAACTCCATCTCAAAAAAAAAAAAAAAAAAGAAAATACATAACATTATTAAGATTGAACCATTTTTTTTCTGGAAAGAAAAGGCTAAAAGCTTCCCAATAGAAGAATTTAAGAGGGATATTTCATCTAAGAGTGGAAAAAAAACAAAAGAAGGCAGAAGAAAGGATCGGCTAATTTCCTTTCATTTAGATTATCAGCTTTCCAGGTTTCCTGCCCTCACAGTCACCCACCAGGTCCCCTTGAACATGCCCATCACCTGCCCACCCCATAGGCCTTCAGCACCCTTAAGCACTGCCCCGGTTCTACTTCTCCTAAACCCAGATCTGCTTTGAACTTGAACTGAGGTGTAGGCTGGCTGAGTAGCAAGTGAAGCACCTGGTAGAGCCACTCAAGAAGAGACCCCAAGCTCATTAATTTGGCTCCAAATTTGATCATTTCATAATCCACCTTGGCTAATGCTCTGGGGATGCTGAACATTGTAGCATGAATGTGGGATGACACTGATGATACGGATACTGTCCTTTTAGGATTTCTTGGTGTCCCTGTGGAGCCATTGAGCCTTACCCCTTACTGGAGGCTGCAGGACCCTCTACACACAGACAGCTGTCCAGCACGGAAGGTGGCCTGAGGCCCAGGGTGAACATGCCAGCTAATGGGACATCACCCCAGGGATTCCCTGCCCTGATTCCGGGAGAACCTGGCAGGTCTTTTGAGGTGAGGAGGAGGATCCTATATATTTTTCTATATGTTGTTTTAGTTTATCTATTTTTAGTTAAATTTATATTTTGGGATAATTGTAGATTCAAATGCGATGTACCATTTACCTAGTTTTTGTCCCCAGTAGTAACATCTTGTAATACCCAGGATATTGACATGCAGAGCATTTCCATCCTCACAAGGATCCCCCATGTTGTCATTAAACAGACACAACCACTTCACTTCCTCCATCACTCCCCTCTTAACTCCGGGTCACCACTAATCTGTTCTCCAATAGTATAATTTTTTCATTTCAAGAATGTTGTGGCTGGACGCGGTGGCTCACGCCTGTCACCTGTAATCCCAGCACTTTGGGAGGCCAAGGTGGGTGGATCACTTGCAGCCAGGAGTTTGAGACCAGCCTGGCCAACATAGTGAAATCCTGTCTGTACTAAAAATACAAAAATTAACCGGGTGTTGTGGTGCGCACCTGTACTCCCAGCTGCTCAGGAGGTTGATGCCGGAGAATCGCTTGAACCTGGAGGCGGAGGTTGCAGTAATCCGAGATCACATCACTACACTCTGCCTGGGTGACAGAGTGAGACCCTGTCTCACAAAAAAAAAAGAAATGTTGTATTTGCTGGGCATGGCGGCTCATGCCTGTAATCCCAGCTCTTAGGGAGGCAGAAGCGGGAGGATAGTTTGAGCCTAGGAGTTTGAGACCTGCTGGGCAATATAGTGAGACCCTGTTCTCCATGAAAAGGAAAAAAAAAAAAAAAAAGAAAAAAAAAAAAAAAAAGGACAAAAACAAGATACTGTTGTATTATTCAGATTGTACAATATGTACCTTTTGGGACTGGCTTTCGTCATTCAGCAAAATTCTGTGGAGATATCAATAGTTAACAGTATATCAATAGTTCATTCCTTTTTTTTTTTTTTTTTTTTTTTTTGAGACAGAGTCTCGCCCTGTCAGCCAGGCTGGAGTGCAATGGTGCGATCTTGGCTCACTGCAACCTCTGCCTCCCCGGTTCAAGCTATTCTCCTGCCTCAGCCTCCCAAGTAGCTGGTATTACAGGTGTGCACCACCACACCTGGCTAATTTTTTGTATCTTTAGTAGAGACGGGGTTTCACCATGTTGGCCAGCCTGGTCTCTAACTCCTGACCTTGTGATCCACCTGCCTCAGTCTCCCAAAGTGCTGGGATTGCAGGTGTGAGCCACCGTGCCCTGCCCATTCCTTTCTCTGCTGATACTTTTCCATGGCATGGATGTACCACACAGTGTAACCATTCACTGGTTGAAAGACATCCTGGTTGTTTCTAGTTGTTGGATATTATGAATAAAGATCCTATGATAGTTTGTGTAAGGTTTTTGTAGGGATGTGATATTGTGAAATATATAATGGTATTTCCTGGCAAACAACTCCTAATATCCTCAGAATCTCTAAAGTAGTAAAGTGTCTTTTTGTATGCTAATGAGTTGACTGATGCCTGGCAGTCCCTAGGCAGCTTCCGAATGGGGCTGGTCACAAGAAAGACTAAGGTAGGTTTAGAGGGTTGGGACCCTCCAACCACCTGGGAGGGGAGAGGGTGCTGACAGTCAAGTCGATCCACAAGGGCAAATGATTTAATCAATCATGCCTATATAATGAAGCCCACCTAAAACCCCAAAAGAATAGTTTGGAGAGCTCTGGGTAGCCGAACGCATGGGGATTCCTGAAGGGTGGTGCACCCAGAGAGGGCATGAAGACTCCAGGCCCCTTCCCCCATGCCTTGCCCTGTGTATCTCTTTATTTGACTGTGATTTGTTTGTATTTGGTTTTTGTTTTTGTTTTTGTTTTTGTTTTTGTTTTTTTGAGATGGAGTTTCGCTCCTGTTGCACAGGCTGGAGTGCAATGGTGTGATCTCGGCTCACTGCAACCTCTACCTCCTGGATTCAAGCGATTCTCCTGCCTCAGCCTCCCGAGTAGCTGGGATCACAAGCATATGCCACCACGCCCAGCTAATTTTGTATTTTTAATAGAGATGAGGTTTCTCCATGTTGGTCAGGCTGGTCTCAAACTCCCGACCTCAGGTGATCGCCTGCCTCGGCCTCCAAAAGTGCTGGGATTACAGGTGTGAGCCACCAAGCCTGGCCTGAATTTGTATTCTTTAAAATATCCTTTATTGGTGGGAGAGGTGGCTTATGCCTGTAATCCCAGAACTTTGGGAAGCCAAGGCTGGAGAATTGCTTGAGTCCAGGAATTCAAGACCAGCCTGGGCAACAAAGTGAGACCCCATCACTACAAAAAATAAAACAGGTGGGGCACGGTGGCTCATGCCTGTAATCCCAGCACTTTGGAAAGCTGAGGTGGGAGGATTGCTTGAGGTCAGGAGTTCGAGACCAGCCTGACCAACACGATAAAACCTCATCTCTACTAAAAATACAAAATTTAACTGGGTGTGGTGGCGGGCACCTGTAATCTCAGCTACTCGGAAGGCTGAGGCAGGAGAATCACTTGAACCTGTGAGGCGGAGGTTGCAGTGAGCCGAGGTCACACCACTGCAATCCAGTCTGGGCAAAAGAGTGAGACTCTGTCTTAAAAAAAAAAAAAAATCCTTTATAATAAACCAGTAAACATAGTCAGTTTTGTGTTTCCTGTTGAGGGTAAGCGGCCACTGTCTGGGCCGGTGGCTCACAGGTAAAAGAATTGACCACGACAGTTGTAGGTAAAGAAAGGCAGATTTATTAGAGAAAGTAGGAAAATACATTGCAAGAGAGCAACGGGTAGAATCAGCAAAAGAGGAACTGACTTCGAGGAAACGAAGGCTTGCTGGAGATTTTATAGGATGGTTCTTGATCTGTTTGATAACGCCAAGGTAGCAGGGAGCTAACTTGCATTCTTCTATCAGCCGAGGTGTTTGATGATGAATTGGAGTGTTTGATGATAAGCAGGAAGTTTATGAGTTATGTACGTTATTTGCTCAAGAGTACTATATGTCCTGGGCCATAAAGAAAGACAGAGCCGTAACTTAAACTTACCTGCGTCTTCTTTTTGTTTATATGCCCTGGACCAACTCCTTTTCCCTAATTAGGACTGCACATTTCCCTGAACTTTTTTTTTTTTTTTTAAAGGCAAAGTCTCTCTGTTGCCCAGGCTGGAGTACAGTGACAGCTTACTGCAGCCTCAGCCTCCTGGGTTCAAGTGAGCCTTCCAAGTAGCTAGGACCACAGGTGTGTGCCACCACGCCCAGCTAATTAAAAAAAAAATTTTTTTTTTTGTACAGATGAGGTGCCACTTTGTTTCCCAGGCTGATCTTGAACTCCTGGCCTCAATCAATCCTCCCTCCTTAGCCTCCCAAAGTGCTGGCATTACAGGCATGAGCCACTACTCCCAGCCTTTCCTTGAGTTCTATGAGCCACTCTAGCAAATTAATTGAACCCTAGGAGGGGATTGTGGGAAGCTTAACTTGTAGCTGGTCAGTAAGAAGCTCTGGAGTCTGAAGTGGGAGTAGTCTTCAGAACTGAGCCCTCAACCTGTGGGACCTGATGCTATGTCCTGGAAGATAGTGTCAGAATGGAATTGAATTGGAGGACACCCAGCTGTTGTCTACTGCAGAATTGACCTCTTGCTTGATGTGTGAAGAAAATTCCTCACTCATCTGTTGTCACAGCGTGTTATGAGAGTCTAGTAGGAGAAACTGTGTTTGTATTTCTACTCCTACACAGTGGGGTAAATGCATGAGAGGACAATTGCGGGATTATATGCCAAGTGCATATAGAACAGAATTAATAGACAATCTTTTTTTTTTTTTGAGACAAAGTCTCACTCTGTCGCCCAGGCTGGAGTGCAGTGACGTGATCTTGGCTCACTGCAACCTCTGCCTCTCGGGCCCAAGTGCTTCTCCTGCCTCAGCCTCCCAAGTAGTTGGGATTACAAGTGCCCGCCACCACACCCTGCTAATTTTTTATATTTTTAGTAGAGACAGGGTTTCACCACGTTGGCCAGGCTAGTCTCTAACTCCTGACCTCAGGTGATCCACCTGCCTTGGCCTCCCAAAATGCTGGGATTACAGGCGTAAGCCACCACACACAACTTTTTTTTTTTTTGGATGAGACGGAGTCTCTATCTGTCACCCAGGCTGGAGTGCAGTGGCACAATCTCAGGTCACTGCCACCCCCGCCCCGGGTTCAAGCAATTCTCCTGCCTCAGTCTCCTAAGTAGCTGGGATTATAGGCACCCATCACCATGCCCGGCTAATTTTTTTGTATTTTTAGTAGACACAGGGTTTCACGATGTTGGCCAGGTTGGTCTCGAACTCCTGACCTCAGGTGATTCGCCTGCCTCAGCCTCCCAAAGTTCTGGGATTACAGGCGTGAGCCCCGAGCCAGGCTGACAATCTTTTTTTTTTTTTTTTTTT